CACACACACTTAGGGTGCAGAATAAGTTATTCTTCACCCGAGATAACTTACGATAATTTCATAATTAAATTACGTTTGAAATTCAAATAGTTACATTTTTATTGATTCACTATGTAAATTTGGCATAAGAAAATAAAAATATAGATCATAAGACAAGAAAATTTGCAGTGTATGTGTATTTTACACTATATTTTTATGTTTGTAATTTTACATAATAGAAAATATTTTTTATAATGATTATAAATTTTCTTACAGTCTCTTTTTACGTCGGAAATAAGACAAAACTTACGGAACGTAAAATTACGATGCATTGATGGTAAAATAGACGGGGGTGAAGAATAACTATTCCTTACCTAAGTTTACGAATAGTCAATCCCTAAGTTTACAATATTAGCAGAATAACTATTCTGCACACCACTTCGGCACTGCACGCTCAACAGAAGCGCACTGCATCATTTTGACGACGAGCACTGCAATAGAGACTAGTGAACTTCTCGTCGGAAAAAACTGCACACGTTATTTTTTCGGTACTGTTTTCGCTCTAACTTTTTTAACCGTTTATCGGAATGAGGCGTGTAATATATCATTGAAAAGCTATGGATTAGGCGCAACTTCGACATGTTGAACACTTTTCGAGATTCCACACGGTTTAAGAGCAATTTTGAAAATAGTGCGGCGGATGACGAGCGGCAGCGAGCATTTTTTCGTGTTTTTTTCTAAACTGCTTGTTGGAATGAAGCAAATGATACGCCGTTGGATAAATATCGTCGAGGCGCATCTTTTTCATATATAAATCTTTCTCTAATTCATTACGGTTTAAGAGCAGTTTCAAATTTACTAAATCACGGAACTCTGTTTGTTCAATTTTTTTGAAATTTTCGGTACTGTTTTTGCTCTAGTTTTCTAACCGTTTGTCGAAACGAGACATATGATACGCTGTTGGAAAGCTACGGACAAGGTGCAACTTTCATATGTTGAAATAGTTTTGAGATTCCTTACGGATTTTAGTTAATTTTGAAAATCGTGCGGCTGACTTCGAGAGGCAGCGGCTGTTTTTTCGCGAAATTTTTACGAACGGCTGGTCAGAATAATTGAAATCATACGCTGTTGGAAAGATATCAACGAGACACAACTTTTTCATGTAGAACACTCTCTATAATTCTTTACGGTTTAAGAGGAATTTCAAATTTACCGAAATGCGGACACTCTGTTTTTCGCGACACCTAAATCAACGTGGGTACTTCATCCGACTGAAAACCGCACTGCATCGGACGAAAAGCCGCGCTGCATTGGACGGGTAAGAGAATTGCATAGTTTCTTTTATTCAAACGTAATTTTTTCAAGGACGAGAAAATAGAGTGCACTTCACATCAGGTGTAAATAAACCACAACACTATCAAGAAGTGAACCGCATTACTTTTGTTACTTCCGTAACATTTTTTGCACTTACGGGATGAACAACATCACACACCCGACCGCACTGTTTCAGTTAGAAAACCGCACTGCATCAAATGGTCAAGTGAATGACATTACTATTTTTTGTCGTTTCTCTACCATTTTTCATTTAACACATTTTTGCACTGCATCAAATGGTCAAGTGAACGGCATTACTTTTTTTGTCGTTTCTCTACCATTTTTCATTTAACATATCTTTGCACTTCATTTCCTGCTTTATTTTTTCTGTTTGGAGTTTTTGTATTTCCACATTGGCAAGTTGTACACGTGCGAAGAAGCGAACCGCGTGGTCGAGAGAAATGAGCCGCAATACAATTCTAAATGAACTTCTTTGGTAAACAATTTTTAAACGAGTCCGTATAACTTTTCTCAGGGTTCAGTTTACTAAATCAAACGTTGGAGCGGCTCTCATCACACAAAATATAGTTAACTGAACCCTGAGAAAATAATTAGTGAACCACATTTGCACTTACTTTTTCATCCCAAAGAAAGTGTACTCCACACAATTTTCCTTTTAACCGCAACCATCAACTGGCCGAACTGCACCAGGTAAACTACATGGGCCAGCTGGAGAACCTCCTGCCAACACCAAGCAAACTGCAGCAACGAACCTCCTGCCGCGTGCATCCATACTGCAGCGTCGCACGGCTGAAACTGAAGTGCGTGCCAATCGTCCTCTCAAGTGCTTGCGTACTGCATTGACGCCCAACTAACCTGCAACGATAGCAAGCTGCACTGCTCGTCGTCAGTGGATAGCAACAATGAAAAATTGGACCTGGGCATGAATGCCATCACCGAAATTGCACACAAATGCAAGAACATCAGACAAATTGCAC